AGTAGAAGTCGTGGCGGAGGCCGGAGCCCCCGGGCAGCGGGGATGCCGAGCAGCGCGGCCCAGAGGACAGCCTGCAGCAGGGGCAGCAGCCGCATCGCCCCCCGCGGTCCGGTCTGGTCTGGTTCGGCCCGGCCCACTTCGCTCCGGCCGCCAGAAAGGTACAAAGTGGAGGGGCGGGGGGGATGCGGGCCTCACAGGCCACGCCCCTGCACAACTTTCCACCAATGGGAGCGCGTCTCCGCCTCTGCGCTCAGCGCCAGCTCCGGTTAACCCCCTGCGAGCCCGTTACCAGCGCCAGGTTAGCCGAGCTCCTGCGGAGGCTGGACCGCACGGCGAGGGGGCGGAGGGGCGTCTCCCACCACCCGGGAGGGTTATCGAGGAGGCCGGGTCCTTCGGGTCCGCGTAGTGCCAGGCAGAAGGCGTTATCGGGAGTTTGGAGATTTAAACAGGAGCACACGCCCTTTGCCCAGAAAGTAAAGGGAGGCCTGAGCCAGGACCCGCGAAGCCTGTCCAGCCACCTCACCCCTCGCCCTGTGTTCTTTGCACACGTAGGGAGAGCGCCGGGGGAAGGGGCAGACCGCCTGCCCCCACCAGCTTCCAGTGGGGAGCTCGGTGCCCACCTGGGGGTGGGCGCCCGTCCCTTCCCGCCCCACACCTTCCTTCTGGGCCGGGGGCCCACGCAGCCCCGGTCCCGAAGACGAATTAACGAGGTGGTTGCGGCTTGTACAAAGCACCTTTGTTCCCGAGCCCTCAGGTGGGGGCGGGGGAGGAGGCAGGTGCGTGGCCTTGGGATCGTGGGAGCCGCTGCCGGGCTCCACCCCGGCTCCAGGGCGCTGAGCACACCAGCCAGAGCCACTTTTCCCAGCCACCAGTCCGAGGGTGGAGACGGCAGGTTCCGCCGCTTGGCTGGTTGGTCGGATGGTCGCCCCCAGGCGTCGGGGGCGAGGGCTTGGCGACTGGGGATAGCGAAGGGCGTACGATTCTCTTTGGCAATAGATTGTGCAGAGAGCCGCCCCAGGCTGGGCAGCAACAAGCCGCGGGCACCCGGGGGACGCCAGCTGCTGCAGCCTGGGACTCTCGTCCTCCCCATCCAGTCTTCGTCTGAGGCGACAGCGTCCCCTGGCGGCCAGACGAACCGCAGCGGGGGCGACCCGGCCTTCCCTGAGCAGACAAACTCCGAGGCGAGCTCCTAAAATCTTCCGTTTATTACAACCGAGCAGAGACTGTGCGCACCTCCCCCAGCCAGGCCCAGCGCCCAGATCTGCCTAACCCCCATCTGCAACTGCGTGCGCAGGTCCCCAGGGTGCAGCTCGACAGCTCGTGGGGTGTCTTAAGAGGCCTGCTCCTTGGCATCCAGGCTCTGGCTCCTTCCATCACCGCGGGGTGTGTGGAGGGTACTGCAGGGGACCGGCCCACGCCTCTTTAAGTCCTAAGCTGGGTTGGAGGCAGGTGGAACTTCAGAAGAGGTCAGAGGTAGAGGGAGGACACAGCTGGGGGCGGCGGTGCAGGCCTGGGGTGCCGGAAGCAGAGAAAAAAGGTCAGAGGTCCCCTTTTCCCAGACCACTGGCCCTGCCCACCCCCCCATTTTCAGCGACCCTCCTTGCCCACCTGGAAGGTACCACTAGGGGCGGGATTCCAGCTCCTGGACCAGGCTGGTCACTTGAAGGACACAGGCCCTGGGGGTCTGCAGGGAGTGGCTTCCTCGGGGGTGGGGGCTTGGCAGGCCCCTGAGACTGAGAAAGAGAGAAGGTAGGACACAGGCTTGGGAGGGGCTGTCGTGTTGGCATCCCCACCCCATGTACTGGTGCTGGGGAACACCAGCTGTGGGGGTGGGGGGGAGCACCAGAGGTCATCTCTGTTTCCATCCGTCACCATAAGAGTACCAGTGGGGTATGTGCCTCAGCACAGAGGGGAGATCTCGCCACGGCCACAACCACCACAGCCCGGATGGTGGCAAAGGCTGTGACCTTCTCTCCCCCCACTGTTACCTTCGGGTGCCTCACCACCGGGTCAGCGGGCAGAGGGCGGGTGGGGGGGTTAGGTCGGTCAGCCAGCGCAGCCTGAACAGAGAGAGGGGCAGTGACTGTGAGAGCACATCGAGGGGCAGTGAGCATGCAGAGGTGCTCCCACGGGGTTCAGATCGACATGCACAACAGCCAGAGGGCAGGAGCATCGGGACATGCGCACAGGGCTCGGGGGCATGCCAGCAGATGTCTGGGGAGGAAGGTATGGTCACCGTGCTGTCCCTGGCCCGCTGCAGTCCCGCCACTAACCACCAGATGGTGGTAGAAACCAAGGCAGGAGGCTCACCCTTTGCTGCTTCTGGGGCTCAGAGTGTCTGAAGGCTGAGGGGCACCCGGGTCCCCTAATGAAGAGCACCACTGGCAGGGAACAGGGAGGAGAACTGCAGTTGGGCACCAAGCCTCCCGCCTGCCCTGAGCCAGGGCAGGGCCTGGCCCAGATTTACCTGGAGTTTCTTGGGCACAGGGTCAGGAGGCAGTGGCCTTGAAGGGGGTGCCGGGAAGCCAAGAGCACTAGCCTGCTGAGATGGCAGGAGGAGCAAACAGGCAGAGTGGGGAGGGGAGGGAGCAGAGAGAGAGAGATGTGGGCAGAGAGGGTTAGTGCCCAGGGAGGGGCAGCTAGGACCCCCGGGACAATGGGGGTTTGCATGCTGTTATTCATTTGCATGCAGAGGGGGTGACCAGTGGTAGAGTGGGCACGGAGACCACCTCCACACACATACTTCTATCGTCAGATGCAGAGGGCTCAGGGCAAGGGCATTCACCAGCCCTCTCCACATGGTGGACACTGAAGGCCATCCTGGGTCCCACCCTCCCTTTCCTTCCAGGGACCCAGCTTGGTCTCAAAGCCACCAGCGTGGTTAGCTCAGAGGTCAGCAGACCCTTCTCTAGGCGACTGCCCACCCCGCTCCAGGCTGGGCTTTGTTTCTCAGCCTGCAACCAGGAGGGAGGAAAGGGCTGGCCCTGACTCCTCTGATGGACTCTTGGGCGCTGTGAGTCTTTCTCTGGGCCCACCCCAGGGCCCAAGCTGGATGCCGGGCCAAAATGGGGCCCTCTCTCCTCTGGCATTCAGGACTCACCTTGACACCTGGCATCAGCAGGGCCCTCTGCGGGGGTCCTGGGCGTTCTGGGGGACCAGGCTGAGCTGCCCTAAGCATGGAGAAAGGGCTCAGCCTTAGACCCTGTTCTCCACCCATACGCCACTCTTGAGTGGGGTTAACCCTTTGCAGCCCCTTGAGAGGAACATGTGTGGGGCTTAGGCCCAATGGGTGGGGGGGCGGAAGCTGATGAACCCCAATTCCCCAGCACAGGGCCTCCGGGGGGAGGTGATCCTAGCATCCCAGCTCACCCACGCAGGTCTACCCGTCTACGTGGGAGGTGAAGAGTTCCAGGGAACATGGAGGGAAGGGAGGTGTGTGGGGTGTGGCCCCAGGGGCTTGGGGTCAGAGCCAGGTGGCAGGGGCTGCAGAGGGGGTAGGGGCAGGGCTCCAGGCTGTTGTCCTCAAAAGAGCTGTGGAGGGAGCTGGGAGCAGGGAGGCTGGTACCTGTATTGGCAGCTGGGTCCCTTGAGCTGGCAGAGTCGCTGTCGCAGGCGGGCACGGTACCAGTAGCTGGCACCAAGCAGCACCAAGATCAGCAGCAACAGGAGGCTGAGGAGCAGCCCTGTGGTCAGGGACCTGGAGGCTGTGGGGTGAAGGCAGGTTTGAAGGTGAGCAGAGCTGAGAACTCCACACCCAGGAAGGGGCAGGGGGCAGGGAGTAAAGTCAGGTGCTGAGAAAGTGAGGGGGTCAGGGGTCACAGAGAGTCGGGGAGCCAGCAGTGAAGGGGTGCGGAAAAGAGAGGGGTAAAGGATGAGCCACTCTGCCCTCCGGCTGCCCCTGCCCCAGGCCTTGCTACCTCGGATCCGGGCACGGCAGTCAGGGGGTGCCCAGCCCTCCTCACAGTGGCAGAGCCTGTTGCTGTCGCAGACCTAGGAGGAACAGGTTGAACAATGAGGGGCTCTGCACTCTGGGGCCCTGTGTCCCTGTCCGCAGCTTTTCAAGATCCCAGATATCCACAATGGCAGGTGAGCTGGGGGTGAAGGGGGGCAGAGAGCCAGCACGCTGGGAGTCTTCATGCTGGAGGACATTAGATCCACTACCACTGTGATGCCTTCTAGATGCTGGACACCAAGTCAGAAGCTCTCAGACTCCTCTCTTGTCCCTCAGGAAGTGGGTACTATTACTCTGCCCATTGGACAGGACACTGAGCTCAGCGAGGTGAGTAACCTGCCCCTGGTCATGCAGCTAGGCAGTGGTAGAGCAAGGATTAGAACCAGGGATGTCTGTTGCCAAAGGCCTGGAGGCTCCCTGCTCCCCTTTCTCATTCCCACGCCAGCTCACCCCGTGCCCATTGCACTTGCTTCGGCATTCCTGTGCTCCCAGGAGAGCCAGAGGCTGGCATCGACGGTCAATGCACACCTGCCCAGTGGGGAAGAAGAGCAAGGATCACATTCTTGCAGAACTTACCAGCACTGGAAGCCAACATGGCTAAGGCCGCACCCTGCTTTTTCAGATGGGAAGACCAAGGCTCAGAGGATGACAGGACTTGGCTCAATCACAAGAATGTGAACTCCCCTCAGATCTGTGCCTTTTACACGGGTGGACGGTGAGGCCTGGGCTGCTCGCCATGGTCCAGATATCCCTCCCCACTTAGTGTGGCTCACCCAGGCTGCTCACCAGGCCAGGGCCACAGGCTGTGCCAGGTAGAGTCAGGAGGGGCTGGGCCACGTCGTTGCCCAGGTCCAGGTGTACCCAGCTGCAATTCAGGTGGGTCCCGTTGGCTTCTAGTATCTCCCAGTGCAGATCCCGGGCTGAGCCCAGCAGAGGCTGGGCCATGCCCCCCTGGCACTGGAGCTGCCCGCAAATGGCATCTCTGGAGTGAGGAAGGAGGACGGGGTGTGGGAGTGGGGCCACGGCTCCCACAAACCTAGGGGAGGAGCCATTGATTTCCTCACTTACCTAGGGTCACAGGACAGGTAGCTGCCAGTAGGACTGCGCCCACAGCTCCCAAAGGCATCCCCCCGAGTATTGGCAGTGAGGAGGCAAGGGGGTGCGGCGGGCTGAGCCCCAGGCCCCCAGAGAGCCTGGCACTGTT